CCTTTCATCACTACTAGTGATCCTTTCATCACACTAAGACTTCCATTTGAGGCCTTGTAACTTAGTCCTATTGAGTCTAGACTGCCTAGTGATATTAGATTCCTTTTGAGGTCAAGAATATATCTCACATCTGTGAGGGTTTTGGTTAGGCTATTGTGAAGGCTTAGTTTAACAGTGCCTATGCCCTTAATGCAACACACTGCATTATTTCCCATCACAACTCTCCCACCATCCAGAGTTTGAAAAGAACTAAACCACTCCCTACTAGGTATCATGTGATAGGTACATCCTGTGTCTAAGATCCATTCCTCACTATTTCTACCTCCAGAGATGACTAACACCTCTGAACTTTCATAACCCTCAGACACAACACTAGCACTGCCTCCTTCTTCCTCTTTTTCATACTTCTTCTTACCCTTTCTCTCAGGACAATCTCTCCTAAGATGACCTTCCTTGTGACAGAAGAAGCATTTCCATTTCCCAGTTTTGGACTTGGATCTATTCCTATTGTGCCTCTCTTTTTTCTAGTTCTTCTTCTCTGATCTACCCCTTACCATGAGACCTTCCCCATCGCTGCCTGATTCTATTCTCACTATCCTTAGCTGTAATGGCTTCTACAATCTCTTCTAATTTTAGAGTTTGCCTACCATATTTTAAGGTTTCTACAAAATTAGAGTAGGGTTTTGTAGGGAATTTAGAAGGATTACAACCTGGTCTTCATCATCAATCTCTACTGATATGCTTTCTAAATCCTGTATGATTTTCAAAAATTCATCTTTATTGTCTTTTAAAGTTCTCTGCTCATCCATTTTAAATCTAAACAATCTTTGTTTTAAGAAAAATCTATTAGGGACAATTTTAGATTGATACAGAGTGTCTAACCTATTCCAGATCTTAGTAGCAGTTTTCTCCTTCTTCACTTCTCGAAGGACTTTGTCACCTAGTCCTAAGATCAAGGAGCTTTTAGCTTTGTTGAGAACATCCTGCTTCTCAACTTCAGTCATGGTGTCAGGCAATCCAGATTCCCTTTCAATGCTAAGGCTAGTCATTCTTTAACCAGCACAACTTCCATTTTCATCTTCCAAAGTCCAAAACCATTGTCCCTTATAAAATTTTTGAGTTCAAATTTAGTCGACATGTTTTTGGTACAAAATTTGTAACAACAGAGACAAAGAAATCAAAGATAACCCTAATTAGATCTTGAACCTAGCTCTGATACCAATTTGTAGTAACTAATAGGGTTATTAACGAAGTTGATTTCAATCAAAGCAATGAATGAGCAAACTCAACAATCAACTTATCAATTCAAAGATGAATTAAAACAAGAAAGAGTTGAATGAAAAATTGACACAGAGGGATTTATAATGGTTCGGCTAAGGCAACTACATCTACTCTTCAAGGCACACATTAGGGTATTTCATTCATCATAGAATCAAGATTATAGAGAAATTAAAGACAAGCAACTACAGGAAGGAACACACCCGATAAACCTCACACTCCTCTGCGTTCTCACATATCGATCTGGATTGGACTCCGTTGATCAATCACGATGTACAACAAGATTTGATAACCGTTTGATGAATAACGCACTAGAATCTTCTTCCATAATTGAGACCTAGGGCTGAAACAATCGAGAGAGAAGTGAGCTGTGAAGGGGCAGGGTTGTTACAGTGAAATAAGGCACTTAAGCTAAAAACCAAAACGACATTGCATAGACTAGTAGAAATAATTCTTCAACAATGCTTTGACTCCTTTTGACCCCAGTGTGGCAATTTGCAAGCCATGTCATCACAAATAAATAAATAAATAATTATAATAATTAAAAAAAAAAAATCAGCAGCACCAGTTCATCAAAATGCAACCCTTAACAAACTAAGCCCCGCAGCAGCATTAGTTTATCAAATGGAAAGCCAAATTCAGCAGCACCAGTTCATAAAAAATTCAACCCTTTTTGAACAGCAGCAGCATTAGTTTATCACTGACACCAATCAAATAACACAAAGNAAAAAAAAAAAATCAGCAGCACCAGTTCATCAAAATGCAACCCTTAACAAACTAAGCTCCGCAGCAGCATTAGTTTATCAAATGGAAAGCCAAATTCAGCAGCACCAGTTCATAAAAAAATCGACCCTTTTTAAACAGCAGCAGCATTAGTTTATCACTGACACCAATCAAATAACACAAAGAATTCTCAGCTACATTCAGAGCAGTATAGCAGCATTAGAAAACTCAGTTATTTGACTACAGTTCCACTATGAATATCAACAGATAAAGAGGCATGTGCTTTTTCAAGTTCGAGACCATGGTTTTGTAGCAAGTGCTGTGCTGCTTGAAGAGAAATCTTATTGATTTTAGAGTTCACATTAGCAACCACAGAATCACAATCAGAACCAAGGCCTTCTAAAATATACAACAATCATTCGCTGTAACTCATAATCACACCAGTTGTGGTCTTGTGGACCTGTCTACTGATTTCATTTTTAAAACATTATCATATATGGAGAGAGATCCTTTAGTGCTGCAAGTATGCAACAGATGCCTTGTATACATACATAAGATTTAGAGTCCGGAAGACTTGTTTGTTCCAATGTTTTCCAAACATCTCCAGGAGACTGACATTTAGCTATGTGGCCAAGGCTGATTTAAAGATTGAAGAGAATAGCCAAACTAGTATCCTCTTCAGGATTAAATATTCTGGATTTGCCTGTAAAATTGTCTCTAACGAACTGTCTACCATTTTGACATTGATGTAAGGAGGACAAATTTTTTCAGTAGTGAGAAAAGATATAACGAACAATACGGTCCACTTAACGTTAAGAGGCAATAAGGATTGATTAAACTTAAAACTAGTATCTTAAGCTAGGAATTACTACTTAAACATCAGAGGCCATTCATGAGTTTTTATGTTAGCATTCATCTTTAGTGGTTGATTATAAAAAATTAAGATAAGATCAACGTGGACAAAAAATCTCAACAAAACAATTTTTTCCTCAATAATACTCTATAATCAAATGTAGATAAAGTCATTTATTCAAATTAACAACGTTTTCAATGCAACTATGAAGAAGACAATTTTAATTTTAACCGTCAAATAGCAAAGGTTATATGAACATTTTTATGTCTTCAAAAGACAGAAGAGTTACCGTGAAAAAAAGACTTCAATAATATTGAAAACTCACCCCATTAGTAAGCCACCAACACGAGCATATGTCTCCAATCTAGAGAGATTCAGCCAAATTCTTCTGCGAGAATTAGCGACTGAACCCGTGAACTCAGCATCGCAATGCTTGTTTTGTCCTAACTAACCTCGCACAAGGCTCGATATGAGTTCATCGGGATCTTCCCTTACTATTTTAATCAAACTACCATACAATGTGATACTCAACTCTATGCATCAAGTCTTATCGAATCTACTCCGGTCAATTTTGGTTAATTTGAATAAATAAATCAATCCTAAGAAATATATAACTAATTCAACTAGTTAATATGAAGATCTCTAAAAATTGTACGTGTAAATCTTTTTCTGAGAAAGGGTTTGATTTATACCTGAAATTTTGTAGTATATAATAAATTAACGGTAAGGAAAGACACTTTTAAGCGAGCAATTGGACCTCGTACAAGGCAAATGGTGAACATATTGATCCAACAGATAAACATTTATGTTAGAAAAAGGAGTTACAAAATTAACTTGGAATCTGGGAATGTAAAAATTAATGGACAAAAACGAAGTAAGGCCAAATGAACATATATATAATATATTAAGGTGTAGAGATTGAGAAATAAGGGATGTGAAATTATTGTCTAATATATATTTTTATGGGAGATAGAGAAGAGGGAATCCATGTGAAGACTGAGTTATTCGATGCCAGCTTGTTTTGTGTTTATTTTTATGTTAGCGTGTAGATGTCGCTGCTTGTGAACTTTTGGAGTTACGCTATTTTTTAAGGAATAATTAAAGAGGTTGGAGCTTTTGGTCTTCATCCGACACCTAGCATGCATTTTATTGTCCTCAATCAAACAACTTCTCTCTCTCTCTCTCTCCCTCTAATCAGTCAATTAGCTCAAGGAATGATTAAAATCAATGATCTTTATGTTTGAAGTAATAATAATTATCATCTTATTTGTCATAAGGCAAACATTTGCTGGGTTCAGTGCCAACATGGAAAATGCTGGATAATTTTAATCAACAATATCTTTAATTAAAATAGATGGCTCAATCCTATCACATCTCCAAAATAATTTAAGGGTCAGTCATTAAGAAATCGTGCATTGGTTATGTTATTTATTTTAAAACAACCATACCCGATATTCCCTCTTTTTGTTGGCTACCGAAATGACTCGTTTGTTTAAGCATCTTTTGACCTTTTAAATTGAAACTAACCATTATTTTCTTAGTAAATTAATCATAAATGGCTTCAATAATATAAATATAACAGCCAACCCACGCTCAAATTCTTTGTACTCAATTCAAATATTAACAACTGGTCGTCAATCTGAGTGGCATGACACGTTGTCAACCCACGTTAACATAACTATAATCAATCACACAACTTTCAATAGAAAATTGAGTTATTAGTTGGACAATTAAAGTCAGCTCAGCTCTAAGTTAAAATATCTATTATTAATGTTATGCCCATGGTAATCATTGAGAAGATCTAACTTTAAACTCCTTAATTGCCATCAACCAGGGAAAAAAAAATTAAGTACCTATAAGAAGTGCATTTTCTTGACCTTGAAAGGCAAACAATTTCGATGTTAGTTTGGTTTTATTCCTAAATCAAGTAACAGTTAAAGACAAGTGTTTATTTATAAATTATCAAAAGCCAAAAGAAATAGAACTTGGTAGAATTAATTAAATAATGTCTCCCCAACCACAAAGATAAGCATATGAATCTCAAATACAAACTTAAAGAAATATCACAAAGTTATTTGGAAACGATGGAAAGAGAAAATATGGGAGATTTTTTTTTTTTTTTTTTTTACTTACAAGTTGAGGGTGTAAATACAATTCCATTACTAGGAATTTTAACATTTCTTTGTCATGAACTTTTGTTGAACCAAATGGATCGATCATCACCTCATGAGTGGTTGAAATTCCGAATCTGCCATAAATTATATGCAGACCCGAAAAAACTAAAAGAAGTGAAGCAAAATATATCCACAAAACATTAACCACACATACATTAAAAAAAAAAAAAAAAAAAGAACATCCCCATTGAATAATCATCCCCGGAGATGTGAGATTCCGGTACCGGAAAAAAAATTGTTAGTCTTCTGAAATGCTTTCCAGATGAGGCTGCCATACGGTGACACGCCCGCGGTTGCGGCGATCTCGACGTGAAGACTTATTTTCTGAGATAGCGTCCGTTAGGTAACGCTCACAAGGTGAAGTTTGATCAATAGTGTAACATCTTTTGGTCTTTTTTGAGGGTTTTTTGTTGTTGGAATTGCATTTTTTCTTGTTTTCTGGTAAAGAAGAGGATGGAATCAAGAAGTAAATGCTACCTCGTTTGAGCTCGGACTCCGGCGAAAGGATTACGATTCTTCTGACGACTCCTTGAGAAGAAGGTTTGCTCAAGACGTGATTAGGGTTAGCCTTAAGAATCTCACCGGCTGTGAGTGGACCTGTCATTTCTTCTACAAATCCATTCAAATGGACTATACGGATCAAGTCGAGAGCTCCACATGGAAGAACACAAGCCAAACAGCACCTTAAACTATTTCCCATCTCTTTCTCTCTTCAATCTTAAACCTTCTTCAAGTTTTGATGAACTCTTTTATTTTTGTTTCTCTAACTTTTCCTTCTCTTTTTGAAGGTGACCAAGAGTGGACGATTTGTTATATAGGAACAACCGTACTCATTTTAGAAACAAGGAAAATTTAATTATATTTTATTTTTGTTTTAAATTACCAATGTGTCCTCTATGTGCTTTAAGTTTCTTTTGGCATTATTATAGAGATAATTGTGGGATTTGTTTCCTGCACTACTAGGGTCTAGGATAGCCATGCTTTTAATAGATATTAACCTGTGTTCATGTAGAATGGATAATTCACTCATACACATCAAGACGTACTGAATGGATAATTCAATCATCTATTTTTGAAAAATGTTGTTTTAGAATTAAAATTTTATTAACAGTTATAATTTTGAGGGGGATTTTCCTAATTTTTAAAAGTTTAGAACCTTTACTTTAGACCAAAACCTCTTGATGGATTATATATATATGTATATGAGCTTACTTGTATGGGTAATTGACTTAGGCCGCCTTGTGGAGGATTAATGTAATAACAGTGGGTTAGGGTTTTTTAAATGAATTGTTATTATTAGAAAGGTTGAAGAAATTAGTATCCCACTTGACTACTATTTGGGGAAAGTAATGCTATACATACTAACGAATTTTACTAATAAGTATACTAACTTAAATCATAGTACGAGTACCATACACATAGTACGGGTACTATGTGTGATTTTAATAAAGGTTAGTACACTGGTTAGTAAAATCTGTTAGTACGTAAAATATTATTCTTTGGGGATACGTGCTTTAGTCGTAAGGAACTAGGCCTTTTAAATTTAAATTAATTACATGTCTACAGTTAACAAATTAAGTCAGGTGTTCATTGTGTGAAGATTAATTTAATTATAGCAAAATTTGATGATATTATCTTGATCGATTAAAGGCCAACTTCAATGGCATTTTTCTTCAATTTCCCTTTAAATTAATATGTTGATTAGAATAATAGAGAGCTAGAGATGCATAATCATGCACAATTTAATTAACATTATACTGAGTTACTTAGATGGGAAAACACATAAAAAAACAAATCATGGTCACAGTTTTTTATATGAAGTTAGGACGTGAACCTGCAAACGTTAAGTAACAATTAATTAACATGAACAACTGACAGTGTAACTCAAACTTGTGTCCTTATTAAATCGAGACACGAACCACATAGAGACAATTACGATGATCCAATTCATTAGATTCCTCATTTTAAATATTTATAAATCTAGCAAAACGCGTTTAATTTAATTATCATATTTAATTACACAATACATGGACGAAAATAACTTTTCTGTTATTAGTATCCTACTATCAGGGATGACCTGTGGGGTAGACAAGTGATTTGAGGCTCAAAATTATTTTATGATTTTTGTAAATAGATTTACATAAATACCATTGGGCCTAAAAAAGTTTATAATTTTTTATCCAAATTGGTTCAAAGGGCCCCAAAAAGGCCAAAATTCATTATAATTTTTTTGCATAAATTTACAAAAAAAAAAAAAACCATGTTTCATATTTTCCATTCACACACACCCCTAAATTAACTAAACTAGTTATTTAAATGTCTAAAATTTCAAAACACCCATTCAATCCCTAAAATGATGAAAACATTGCATCTCCACCCCTCTAAACCGCCATAGTGTCGCTACGGTGTTAAAGTGATGATTCCGATCAATTTTCTCACCAAAATCGACAGGATTCATCACTTAATCATTTCCCAAACGTTTTCCCAGCCTTTAGAACCCCCAATTTGGCCGATTTTCGCAACCCATTTTCATTCTTCATCGCGTGTGACAGCCATTTCTAGCATGTATCCGTTGTCGTTGACCTTCCCTGACACCACCATCTTTGTCCCCTCAGCCCCCTCCCAAAAACCCCTCACTTACCTGACCTCGGTAGACCGCCGTCCACCTCTCGCCCTCACAAGAAAGATTAGGTAATTTGACTATATTATCAATCGAAAAAGATTTGGTTTTTAAACTTGAATATAAAAATTTAATTAGTGATTTTGCATCTCAAAAGGCAAAAAAAAAAAAAATTTGAAATAAATTTTTAATATATGCTTATATTATTAAAAATGCCCTAAAATAACTCTTGTCTATGGTCACAAATGTTCTTGAGACAACCCTGCCTACGATATGTGATATATATCCTAAGATACAATTCGATATGGGTTACCAACGATACATATCAAAGAGTGTATCTTAAATATTTCGATATGTTGATATGTATCTTACGATACGATACGTATCTTTAAAAATATTGATACAAATCGATACGACTTTATTAATTTGGACCGAAGGCCCCAAAAATTTTTTGGGTCGGATCTGGGTCACCCAACCCAGTTCACTAAAACCCGCCTAAATTTACAAATTTTGCATGCAAAAAGTGAAGAGGAAGATGCGTTCGTTACCCATTTTGTATGATAATAATAACATAAGTAGAGATATATATATTGACATTGATATTGATCTTAGAAAAGATATGAATGGTTGATAGAAAATTATATAAATTCTTAATTTTGTAATTAATTTTAATTATGTAATACATTAATTTAAAGACAATAATATCACGAAATTCGTTAATTAATCTTGGGAATGATATTAATTTTTAGAAAAAATTTAGTATTTTATTTATTATTTATTATTATTTTTTTTTGAAAAAAGCATATCCTACGATATGATATACGATTCGAAAATTATGTTTTTGATACATGATATGATACGCGATTTGACAACCATAAATTCTAACTCCCTCTGAGTGACTGAGCGATTCGATAGAGACTCTTGAGTGTATTTAGGGGTGTTAACAAGCCGAGTCGAGCCGTAAATTTTATGGCTCGGCTAGGCTCGGGAAAGAGTTGGGAATATTGCGAGCCGGCTCGTGAGCTTGCTTATCGAGCCGAGTTCGAGCTGGCTCGCGAGCCAACTCTCAAAAATTCAATTTTTTAAAGAAAAAATCTTTCTTTTTTTTTTTTCTTCTAGCCACTGCCATTCTTCTGGCCACTTCATGCACTTCCTTTTCAGCTCAACATTTTGGCATAATATCTCCTACGCCTTTCGAAGTGAGATATTCAATGAACAAATCAGAACTACAACATGGCATGAATTTTGCATACGGTGGCACTGGTGTTTTCGACACATTGGTAGATATCAACCAAGGTTCAAATCGATAATCTTCAACAACAATTTGATCAAAATGTTTACAACAAACAGGACCTTGATTCCTCCATTGCTCTCATTTCTCTTGCTGGCAGTGACTATTCCACTTTCATTCTTAGTAATGATCATTTCTTTACTTCGCGACCATTTTTTTACTTCACGACCTTGATCAAAATGTTTACACTAAACAAATTAACTATACATATTCTTTACTTCACGACCATTTCTTAGAATCTGATCAATCTCTGCGCATTTATTAAAGTTTGCAAAATCAGAGGAGTATCATTCAACAACTTTCAATCAACCTGAAGCGCCTTCAGGCCATGCGAAAAAAATAAACCAGGAATCATGGCCAAGCGTTGGTGAGACTTCAATGGGTCTGACGGCGACAGCTCTGCGATGCAAATCCGATGAAGAAGACGTGGTTCACGGCGAAGAGTTGACGGCGAATCAGAGGTGTGCTGGTGCTGTCAACAAACTGTGTTGGGGATCGATGAAATTTAGGGATTACAGCGAAGAGTTACGGCAAATGAGAAAGTGTCGTGGTTTTAGGGATTAAAAAATCGCGGGGGGGTGGGGGATTTTGTCATTTTTTTAAACTTTTGCTGTTAATTTTTTTTTAATCCCCTGTACTTCAGAAAACCTAAAAAAACCCCCCATTTTTTCGGGCCAAGCTCGACTCACTAACCTAATGAATCGAGCTGAGTCGACTCGTTATCTGAAGAGCTGAGCCGTTAACGAGCCAGACTCGAGCTGAGTCGAGCCGGCTCGCGAGCGGCTTGGCCCGTTAAGCACCCCTAGGTATATTACTCTCGAGCCGAGTCGAGTCGGCTCGCGAGTGGCTCGGCCCATTAAGCACCCCTAAGTGTATTACTGAAGAGATCCTGAGTTCGAATCTATCCTCGGTTGCTAATAGTGGTAGTCACTGGAATTCTTATCCGACTAGTAGTTTCAGGGTCCCAAATGACTAGTTGAGATGCGCATAAGCTGAGCCGAACACCTTGAATCCTAATCATCAAAACAAAAATTAAAAAAAAAAAAAAAAAAAAAGTAACTTACCTACTAAATGGATTATTAGATTGATTTCTTATAATGTTAAAAGAGGATAATATCCAAATTTTGATTTATTTTTATTTTTCAAGAAAAAAATTCTTAAAGCTAAACAAATTAAAAGAGACGACCGAATATATGTCCACTCTTGCGGCCAAACTCAGATTTGCCAGTTTTTTCATGGACGTTAGATAGATCAATTCGTGCAATCTTAGGACTTAGACATAACAATGTCGCCGAGCACGCCTCCAATCATAGTGGCAAGCGATCAAGACGACGACCGCAGTCCTAAGTTTTCTAATTTCATAAAAATGATTTTATTAAATCAACTAATTTAACTAATTAATTAACATATATAATTTAGTAACTTCTATTCATATTTAAGGGATAATAAAGATTGTATGAGCTAAAAATAAAGTTGATAAAAAAATCTGATTTTCTTATTGAATCAGCAATGTTTTTAGTAAATGGATTATTAGATTGATTTCTTATAATTTAAAAGAGGGACTATCCAATTGATTTCTTATTTTAAAAAATAAAAAAATTATTAAAGCTTAATCCCTTATACATTTCCTAAAAAATTAAAACATTCTTCAGTCTAAGCAGTTCTTATAATTAGTATAATTTAATGAATTATATAGAGTGTCTTTCCGAGTGTGGCTCTTGTGATTATTCAGAAAACCATTAAGTTAATTAATTTTTTTTCTGGTAAACAATTTTTTTTTTTTTAATTGTTTCAGTAAATATATAAATTAAAATAACAGAAGTCTGTCATTTCCATGCCCGAAAAAAAATTCTTCT